TTATTATTACTCTTACTATTACTATTACTACCACTACTATTATTATTGTTATTACTATTATTATTGTTGTTGTTGTTATTATTATTGTTGTTGTGTTATTATTATTTATAATTTGTACAATTAACCTCCCTGTGGTTCGACCCCGGTCTTGCCGGATTATTTATTACTTCGACACTCCTGCACTTGGGAGAAGACATTAATCTTTTAGTCATGTCAGTTAACATAAGTTATAATCATGAATATTTGACAACATTTACAAGTATTAGCATTATTCGAATAAGATGACTAATGTAATCATGTTAACAATTTATAATCTGATTGGAACATTCTTTGTGTGTGGTTTCTAATTGAATAATAAGAGTTTATACTATATTTGTTTGACATACCATTGGTAGATTTTCTAACCTTGACATTTGTTATTATCATTGTTTAATTCTTACATTAATCTTTCATCTCAAAACTCTCATCATCATCTTGTTCTTTATTATTATTATTATTATTACTATTACTATTATTATTAGTATTAGTATTAGTATTAGTATTTAGTATTGTTATTGTTATTGTTATTATTATGGATTTGTTGTTGTTATATTATTGTTATTTATAATTTATACAATTAATCTTCTTATGGTTTGACCATAGTTTTGCCGGGTTATTTATTATTTTGACATTTCTGCACTTAAAAAAAGACATTAATCTTTTGATCGTGTTATCAGCGCATCAAAATGATAAAAAAATACAAAAATATTTAATTTTTAATAATAAATAATAATAAAATTTTTGTAAATACATGTTGGCCCGCATTCCAAAATAGTTTCTTAACCAATTCCATTTTATGTTTGTGACGTGGAAGACCTCTTGTAAATATGTTCAACATGGGAATTTGTTCTAAAATCCTACAGTACCATTGACTTGCTTGTATTACAAATAGCATGTTAAGGATACAATAAGGAAATAGAAAAGAGAAAAAGAAAAAAAGGCATGGAAAATGGAAACTCTAAACTAAAGGTGGAATCCGCCTCCGTTTTGGCTTTCAAACTCTCAAATATGAAACAAGGAATAAATATTTGCTATTCTTGTCAGTGCATGTGGAGTACGTGGAGTTCATTTCCCACATTTTCAATGACGGTAAATGTCCAAAATCGATGGCAATGTAGATCAAGTATACATAGAGAAGTCAAGCTTTGCTGCTACTTCAACGTCAACCCTTAGCCTACCGTAGACTCATTATTATTATTATTATTATAAATAAAACGAAATTGTGTTTTCTGCTGAAAAATCACTGTAGAAAAATGACATGTGGTGTAAATTTCTCAATTTCTTTGGCTTCCTGGTTTTGAATTAGGAAAGCGTATTTTTTATTTAAAAATATATTAAAAAAAATTAGTTTTTAAAAATTATTTTTAAAATTAACACATTAAAATTATCTAAAAACATAAAAAAAATATTAATTTAAAATAAAAAATTTAAATGTTTTCAAAAATATTTTAAAATATAAAAAAATAGAACCAATTGGTATATCTAATGTTTTTTTTTGGTAATGCTTGTTAATTAGTAACATTTCACTTATTCTCATAAGATAAAATTATGATAATAATAAAATAATATAAAAAATAAAAAATAAAAAATATATAACCTAATTTTATGATTTTAAAATTTTGTTTTGATATCAATTTTATATAAACTTTGTGGATATAAAAATTTAAAAATTTATGATTAATTCCTCTTCAATCCTTTTAGTTCTAGACCTTATAATAAATTCATTTAGTATTTAATTTTAATGAATTCTTTAATGATATTCATTGATTCTTATCAATTTTATTAAAGGATAATATAAAATAATATCTAAACAAGATCGTTTTATGATTTTAATGAGTGATGAGTAGTATTTTTCAAAAATCAATAATTAATTTTCTCTGTAAAGAAAATCCAATAAAAAAAATAATGATTATAATTTTACAAACATCATTCATCATAATGCCAGTAACTTGGAAGTAGCCAAATCTATGTTCTTTTTTGTATGGTCAAAAGTTTCCATATGTTCATGTGTATCTATATCCAATTGGACCGCCTGCAACGAACCAATCACCCCATGAAATGAATACTTGTTGACAAGTCGTAATTGATGGCTGCAATTAACAAACTTTGTCTCCACATAACTCTAGCTAATATATCAAGTCATTTAGCGCCTCTCATATTGTGATATATAGTTTTTACCGTGACTTGAAAAAATAAGTAGAAGAAAAACTATAGATTTTTAATTTTTAATTTCATAATCAAAGTTTCAAAAAATATTTTAGTAGGGTTTATGTAAAATTATAATGTCTATTAACTAGACATTTTTAAAATTGTAATTATATTAAAATACAATTTTTACCATGACTCATTACATTATTAAACAAACTCTTAATCGCCTTATTAGAAAAACCAGAGTTATATATATATAAAGTTGTTTAATATATATTTAGTATCATGATAGTGTTTATAGCTATAATTTAACATAAATATTTGGATTTTTAGTAATTAATATCTTAAAAAAAACTCATATAAAAATATAATATATATTAATTAACTAAATATTTTAAAAATTATGTTAAGCAATGTAACCACCTGGCTACTAACCATGCTATTTTTGACCAAAAGCATTCGTGGCAGATAAAGGTTATTGTCCCTGGAACCTTTCAAACACTGACTTGCACCGCTATCTCTTCGAGTGTTCTTCAAAGTTCAAATCCTAATCATACCTGATCTCTTACATTGTTTTCCACCGTGCAATCATGGTGGCAGGGTTCCGTTTTCCCATTTTTGCAATAATGGTCGGTGTGCACGTGATAACATATATTCACTCTAATTACTTGCCCAGATGAAGAAATTCCACAGTGTCTTAAAAGTCAAATTCTGCTACTATTACTGGTTGTTTGAACAGAAAATTACAAAATAAAAGCACAAACAAAGATTGGATTAGGATGGAATCAAAAAGAAAAGAAAAGAAATCTGATTCTCTTCTTTTCCATTTTTTTTTTTAATTTTACAAATAAACACGCTAGAACCCGAGAAATCTCAGTGATAGAACTGCATGCATGTTGAACTAGAAGCTCTCTTGCCTGTTTTTATGCAAGATATTTAAAAAAAAGGGGAAGAAACTAATGGATTAATTATCCAGGATACCTGGTTAACAAATATACAGCAATGCAAGGAGAATTGTTCCACATATGGGAGTGCAACCTAAGGATTTCTCTTGCTTTCTTTTTCAAGTAGGGAGCACAGTCTGCTTGAATAACCATGCAAAGTTTTGACACAGCACCAACTCTCAACATCTCTAGAACAGCTTCGTCTCCAGCAGAAAATTTTGAGATTGAATCAAGTATGCGCACTGCTCGATCATCTGTTGCTGGAGAAACCCTAAGGACCCTCTTTGAAAGCATGGCAATGCTTCCTGCGTGCTTTAGAAACTGTTGTCTCCCATCTGCGCATGAACATAATTGAGCCAAGATATTAAAAATGAGCTCTGTGATGTTCTTCTCGGGTTTCTCTAGTTCTAGTTCAATGAGCTCGAAAACAGCATTAGCTTCAACAATTTTCATTCTGTTTCTGCCCCAAGGACACACTTCTGCAAGAACAAGCAAGGATGACTTTATGGCTTGTTTAGAGATCCTCTTTCTAAGAACCCTTGTTATGATCTCTTTGAAGAAATCAACCTTTAAACTCCCCAATAGCTTTTGACATACAATCTCCGTTGTTTTGTGCAATAATAGCATTGCATGGGTCTTGACAGCAACGTGATTGTCTATCTGATCACAACTTAAAATCCATGTCAATGAATCGATGAAATCTTGGTTCTCCCTAACAAGAAGCTTGATTTCTTGAGATGGGTTCCAAATAAGATAAAGAATTCTCAAAATTTCTTCAAGACCAGCAGTCTTTCCTTCTTTGAAACATTTTATGATAAAAAGAACCGCAGCTTTTGTCACACCAGCTTCCACCATGCAAGTCCTGTTCCTTTCATTCTCTTTGGCAAGGGCTTCCATTCTCCTTACTGCCTTCGTACGCAAGTGATCATCAGGGGCATCAAGATCCTTGAGGAGTCTAAATATTTGGCTCTTTTTGATTGGAGACTTTGGGGTGGGGATTCGATCAACCCCACATATAGCATTCACGGTGCACCATGATTGAATTAGCCTCCTCAATGTGTGATTTGGTGTCAACTCAGAATCTCTCGGCAAAGACTGCTTTGTTACGGGGCAAGTAGCGTTGCTTTTTGCTGCCTTCAACCATTGCTCTATGCTTTCTCGCTCGTAAGTGATGCCTGTTATTGTTGTAACTGGGTCTTTCAGGATTTGCAGCGAAATGGGGCATAGAAAATATTCAGGAACTTCTATTTCATCCATGATCTATAACTATGAATCAACCAATGAGACTGCACAAGTTCTCGAAATTCTTGGGAGGATTTTGAAGAATGGAGAGGATGCTTTCTTCTTCTTTTTAGCTGCCGTCAGTGAATGAAGCCAGCATATTTAATAGCAAGGTTTGAAAGTACCAAAGCTTGACAATTCTAGAGAAAAAAAACAATTAATGCTATTTACTTTGATTCTTCTTCTTTTTTTTAATATTTTTGTTCTTGTTTGATAGCCATACTTTTCCCATAAGGCATTTTCATGGTCAAACCAAAAAAAACATATAAAAACACGTTGGCCGGAAGTTTCTTCCAGGAGCCAACCAAAGCAGAGTCACGTGGCACAAAATTAGTGGGCAAAATAACGATGGATCCACCATTGAAAGGGCCAAAAAAAAAAACAAAAGAGGCATGGGTGCATGTTATAGAACTGTGCAAGTCAGCTTTTAACTGCTGATAATAACCAAGTGATAAACAATAACTTAGAGGGGAAAAATATCCATGGTCTCAACCTTATTACTTGTACTTTTCAATTAACCGACGAGTTGATAAACTTCTGGTAGCTCTTGGAAAAGGCCGTTCACCTTAATTCATATATCCATGATAATAATAAAAGTCCTAAAACTGTGGAATGTTTTTGAGTATGCAAAATGAGAATCTGGGCAAAGTTAGCAGGCGGTATCAACTCAAGAATTTTTCCTTGGCGTGGTTCTGTGGGTTAAAGAAGAAGAAAATACCACCCCATTTGGCAGTCGTTTGTTCTTGTTCAAGAATTCGACCCTTTGGTTTTTTGTTGACCGAACTATTTCTTGAACATAATTTGCCAATTAAGCTGAGTTAATCTGATCAGCTAGTTAATATTTTAAACCTGGAGACTGCGTTCTTTTGAGACTTTTTATATGCATATAATAATTATTAATCTATTTTAATTCCTACCCCACACTCCACTCTCAACATAAATAATTAGCATCCACTTCAAGGACGCATGCTGGGTACCCAATTATTTGAGTTTTTAAATTATTTAGAAATGAGAATTAGTTTGAGACTATCAAACCATAAAAAAAGAAAAACAATGTGTATACATTATTTTAGCAAATTAAACAATAAATTATAACATATTCCTTGTACAAATTTAATAGTCAAGTTTAAAAAATAATTAATTAATTCTTTGGTCTTAATTTTTACCATCTAGTGGTTTCAGATTAGTTAATTTTCTTCCAATTCTCAGCTTACTAATTTTATATTCCTTAATCAAGTATTTATTTCAATAAAATCAAATGTGTTTATTTAGTTCATGTTTAGTATTGAAGTATTGAAGTAGTTCTTACAAATGCGTAAAATGTATAAATTGTAATTTTTTTCTTAACCTTGTAATAGAGAATTTAAAGTAAAATTATATTATTTATTTATTAATTAAACCCTTTCAAATATATAATTGAGATAAAACATATACTACACAACACCACACTGCCGCGTAAACAAATAGGGCGTTGGTTACTTTTCTTTTTTTCTTCATTAACATACGTGTGTGTGTGTCTGTAGAAACACACATTCTTCTTCATGTGCTAAGAATATTAATTATAATTAAAAAATTAAGAGATCAAGAAATAAAGAAAGCTAATTGCCCGGTTAAATCAACTCCGCAGCTGCTCTCTACATGATCTTATTAAACATAGATAAAAGATACACGGCTTCCAGAAATATAGCGCATGATCAAAGTCTACGATCAAATTAATATATATATATATTTTCCAACACAGGAACATGATACGATTTTCCTTTTTATTTACCATGAACTGACACCTGAATTATTCAGTCTTCAGAATAATATAATTAACATAAGATGGCAGATGCTAAATGTTAAATACTATAGCCAGTCCTAAACGCTACCTGGGTTGGTTGATTACATGGATCCATCATTTTCTAGGTGGCCTTCGTACCATGGAAATACAATTTACGTTTCTTCCTCTTTTGCTTTTTCTTAATTGTTGTTGACGCCCATAACATTTATATTGTTAGCAACTGCATTAGGGTATTGATATTAAACTAACTTTTGCATACCAGATTTAATTATTTTTCATTTTAATTCATATAGGGTTTTTAGCATGTTGCAAATTTTTGTTTAAGAACATGTTTAATCAAGATGCCAAATTAAAAGTGGAATCACTCACTTTACTTTTTAGGTTAAAATTTTATGAAAATTTAATCTCTAACCTATGCTCTTTAACATGAAACATTAATGGAATTTTAACAAATTATAGATGAATAAAATATTAATCTTAAATAACCCTTAATTGGTATGTTTTCTAAAACTCATAACCCTTAAAAAATTATTTTATGTCATGTAAAAAAAAAACAAAACTTTCTGTAAAATTAAAAAGTTAAAATTCAATTTAAAAAACATATAGGCTTTTAGACAAGAGAGGTCGTAAGTAAGTTATGCTTTGTGACATGACTAAAAGATTGATATCTTCTCCCAAGTGCAGAAGTGTCGAAGTAATAAATAACCCGGCAAAACCGGGATCGAACCACAGGGAGGTTAATTGTATAAATTATAAATGACAATAATACAACAACAACAACAACAATAGTAATAGTAATAGTAATAGTATTAGTAATAGTAGTAGTAGAAGTAATAATAATAAAGAAGAAGAAGAAGAAGAAGAAGAAATTGATAAGACTTTTGAGATAAAAGATTAACATAAGGATTAAACAATGATAACAACAAATGTCAAAATTAGAGAATCCACTACTAGTATGTCAAACAAGTATAGTATAAACTCTTATTATTCAATTGGAAACCACACACATGATTACATTAGTTATCTTATTCAATTAATGCTAATACTTGTAAATTTCGTCAAGCATTCATGATTATAACTTATGTTAACAACAAATCAAGTTCTTTCATAGTTCAGGTGTCAATTATACCATACCATATGGATTATGAAAGTGTCAAGCATTTGTTGTATCAAATGTTAT